GGTTTGGATGGATTACTAATCAATATCATATTAGCAAGATGGTTTATATCTTTTATATTTATTTCTGGTCAAACACTGGTTAGAGGTCAGATATGAGGAATAAATCTCACATCTGACATTCCACCTGATAATGATGAAAATTCTTGAGAAAGATTATCCAGATCAAAATGTACTTGGAGACATTTTTCACTTTCAGAAAGAAGAAATAGATACATTTTCCCTATTCTTCTCACTTAAACACCTAAAAACCTTGGACATAACATATAAAACAAATATAAGGTAACTTTGAAAGGCAGGAAAAAGAAGGCAGACTATCTAGGGACCTCAAGAGCCAAGGAATGACACGGTGGTGATTTGCCTGGGATTTCTTTTTGCCTTATTTATCTCTGACTTGGAGCAGAGGAAGCCAGCAACCTAGAATCTAGAAACACCAATGGACTCAGACCAAGGGTTAAAAAAAGAAAAAAGAAAAAAGAAACTCCGCCAAAAGCCTGCATTATGTAACTAAAGGATCAGGAAAAGGACAGCCTACCAAACAGAAAACTTTAAGACAAAAACCACACTGCTCCAGCCAAACACTATAGATAAACAGTGGCTCCACTCCTACCCACATAAACAGAGGCAGATTGGAGGGCCTAGACTTCTACTCTTGAGGTCATTATGGAGGATCTCAACATCCCTGCTAGGTGGTGTCAAAGAAGGGCAAGTACCAAGCCAGAACTTCCATCCCCACTGGCCTGTAATTACCCACTCTCCCTGGTGTCACTGGGGACCACATGGGGAGCCTAGGCTTCCACACCCCCTGGGCACAAACAAGGTGCTGCTCCCCATTCCTGCTAGGATGGTATCAGAAGAGGCCTAGTGGAGAGTCAGGACTTTCACCAATGCCCCGCAGTAATGGGGCCACCTCCACCATAGTGTCAGTGGAGGCTGTGTGGGCAGATGAAACTCCCACAACTGTCCAGTAGGAATGAGGAGCTCTTTCCTTCTGGTGTCAGTGGAGTCCAGGTGGGGAAACTGGGCTATTTCCATCTGTCTGCACAGACGCTCAAATATTCTATTCCATACTGTGATTCATGGGGTTTTTTTTAGGAAATGATCCATTTCTTTAGTTGTCAAATGTGTGTGTTTGTAGTGTTTCCCATTATCTTTTTGATGTCTGCTATATCTTTAGTGGCCATTATATCAGGAAGCCTGGGATCAGGACAGGTATCCAAATAAACATATCCTCTAGGCATTTAGAAATACAGGATTGGAGTAGTGCTGGAAAATCATGACCAGAGATGAATATTTAGATCATTCTCATAAAAATAATGGTAAAAGTCTTCAGGGAGGATGGATACACCAAAGGAAAAAAGTCTGATTTATGCTATGGCAAATACTACAAACTACAAATATCTAGGGTACCTGCTGGGCAAGAACTCACACATTTCATTTCTTTCTTAGACTACAGCCAGCCAATTATGTAAATATAAAGAGATACAGCAGAGGCTGGACACCACTCAGAAATCTCCCTTTGATAAACCAAAAGAATCTTACAGTAAGCTCTTCAGAATGGCTCCAGTCTGTGTCCCAGAGGTCATTTGAAAGTTTGTCACCTCTCCCATCCTCTCCCATGGTAACCACCAGTCACTTCTCAATGTCTATGAGTCTACTGCTCTTTTGTTCATTTTATTTTGTTTTGTTTTTAGATTCCGCTTATAAATGAAATCATATGGTATTTGTCTTTCCCTACCTGGCCTATTTCACTTAGCATAATACCCCTTAGGTCCATCCATCTTATCTCAAATGGCATATTTCTTTCTTTTTTATGGCTGAATAATATTCCATTGTGTATATGTACCTTCTCTACTTTATCTATTCATCTATTTATAGACACTTAGGTCACTTCCATATCTTGGTTATTGTAAATAATGTGGCAGTAAACATAGGGGTGGATATATCGTTTTGAGTCAGGGATTTTGTTTTCTTTGGGTAAATTCCTACAAGTGGAATTGCTAGATTGAATAGTATTTATATTTTTAGTTTTTTGAGGAACCTCCATACTGCTTTCCACAGTGGCTGTACCAATCAACATTTCCATCAAAAGTGTAGGAAGGTTCCCTTTTCTCCACATCCTTGCCAACACTTGTTATTTCTTTTCCTTTGGATAGTGGCCATTCTCCCGGGAGTGAGGTGATATCTTATTGTGTTTTGATTTGCATTTCCCTGATAATAGTGATACGGAGCATCTTTTCATGTGCCTGTTGGCCATCTATATTTCTTTTTTGGAAAAATGTCTGTTCAGGTCCTCCATACATTTCTTAACCCAGTTATTTGTTTTTTTGGCATTGAGTCACATGAGTTCTTTATATATTTGGGATATTAACCTTTATCAGATAAATAATTTACAAATATATTATATCATACTATAGGTTGCCTTTTTGTTCTGTTAATGGTGTCCCTTTGCTATACAGAAGCTTTTTAGTTTAATGTAGTCCCACTTGTTCATTTTGTACTTTGTTTCCCTTGCCCAAGGAGATGCATCCAGAAAAAAATTGCTTATGCTCAAGAGATTTTTGCCTGTTTTTGTCAAAGAGTTTTATGGTTTCATGTCCTAATTTAGGTCTTTATCCATTTTGAGTTTATTTTTGTGTATGGAGTTAGACAGTAATCCAGTTTCATTCTCTTGTATGTAGCTGTCCAATTTTCCCAACACCAGTTGTTGAAGAGGCTGTCTTCTCCCCATTGTGTATTCATGGCTCCTTTATCATATATTAATTGACCATATACACATGAGTTTATATCTGGGCTCTCTATTCTGTTCCATTGATCTATGGGTCTGTTCTTTGTGCCAGTACCATCCATACTGTGTTGATTACTATGGCTTTGTAGTATAGCTTGAAGTCAGGGAGCATAATCCCCTCAGCTTTGTTCTTCTTTCTCAGGACCTATTTGACTATTCAGGGTCTTTTATGATTCCATATGAATTTTAGAACTATTTGTTTTAGTTCATTGAAAAATGCTATTGGAATTTTGATAGGGATCGCTTTGAATCCGTAAACTGCTTTGGGAAGGATGGCATTAAATTGTTCTTTTATAATTAGGCTTTAAGATAAGAATGATCTGCCCACCACCACAAAAAAGTCACATGTCATTTTTATCCTCACAGAAGGGTGAGGACCTTTCTGCGTATAAAAGGGGTTTGCTGAAGTCATTTTTTCCATGACAAAGATCTTCTATACAATGGCTGAATTCTTTACTTTCAGAAACATGTCATAAACTTCTAACTGGCAATTTACCTTTTCAAATACATTATAAACAAACGATCATCACTTCACCAAGGATTTGGCCTTCCTCACCTTACCACCAAGCCTACTAAGAGCCCGTGTTCTATGCATTTATTGACTCAAACCCTGGCAGCTCCAGGACCCCCAGACCAGGCTCTGCTGATTGCTCACCACTTTCTCCTGTGGTGAAGGTTGTGTGGAGATGGTTGCTCATGGCAGGGTCCTGGGCAATGGACAAAAGAGGCTCTGGGCCTGAGTCTGCTACAGAGATATTAGGGGAATAAGATTTTGTTAAAAGAAACAAAAGATGGCAAATTCAGCTGATAGGATGATATACTCCCTCCTCAGAGGTAGCCACGGTTCTGAAGATGAGATGGTGTGCTGACAGTGGCAGGGCCACATGATGAAGGAGTCTGGGTCAATGAGATACCGCATCCGAGAACACTTAGATGGAAGTATGACGGAGCTCCACTGAAAATACATGAAATGTTAGGGCAGCAACAGTTCCTCTTGATGTCTCCTGAGTTCTTACAATTAAAATCCAAGTCAGTGAGGTAATACCTTTGGTAAGACCCCTCATTTCTCTGACCCAGCTTGTCTCCACTGAGGCTCAGATGAGCCTAGAGGGAAGAAAAATCCCTGTAACTTTTGTAGGCAGAATCAGGCATCAAGACTACAGAAGGAAACTTCAGATCAAAAGGAGCCTTACCCAGGAACATGGGCCAGTGAGCCCTCTAATGTCTCACCACTCTGCCCTGACATACCAGTGCAGAGAAAGGGTTCTGTCAGAACACCACTTGAATCTTCTAGTTTTATGTAGTGTCAGGTAGGGCCTGGAGTAGCCAGAGCTCATGGGCTAGTCTCCTCTGGAGCCTTTTGTATTTCCCCCAATACACAGTACAAATAACATTACTTTCTTTGTGTTCAGCAGTCACAGAATGAAGGTAGTGTGTAATGTTTTGTTCAAGCAGGTCTCACCTGCCCTGCCCCACTGATGGTCTGTCCTGGATGCCAGACTAAACAAAATTAGTTTTTTATTTTAGAAGAACAGCACTCTACAGGGTTCCAAGCAGGCAGTTGCAGTCCATGGGGTATGGACTTCAACCAGCAGACAGACTTCATGGGGCTTTGCAATCACAGAGTACCTCCAGACAGTCACAGAACCATCTCCAGCAGGGCCTGGAGCAGTGCTCTGGGGGCGGTATGCGACTCCCTAAGACAAAGCCTTTCAGTTTCTCTTTTATGTGCTGCTGTGTTTTGTTCGGTTGGTTGGGTTTTTTTTAGTAAGAAGCCAACATAATTTAAGGAGGAATAAAAGGCTAGCAAAATGCTTTTCTGCCTTGGTAGAAGAATATTGTTACATTAGTGAAAAGATTATAGAGTTTACACAAACCTATGAAGCCCTCAAGTCACCTCTCACAGAGCCCAGTCCCCTGAAGATACAAACTCTGTGTTTGTCAACTCTTAATAGGAATGTCAACCGGTTGCATGGTTTGAACCTCTTTCCTTGAGATACAGTAGACTTCTCAACTATGAATCGCAAAGTAAGCTCCCTAAACTGTCATGTCATGATGTGATGATGGCTCATTTTCAACAGACATGGTCAGTCAAAGAGGGATCAAGTTTTCTAACCCCAACTAACCAATGAAAGGCATCTCAGAAAAAAGGTAGAATGACTTCAGAGGGAAATAGGATGGTCTGGATGAAAACACTCACCTATAGGAAAACCTAAACCTGCCTTCCCAAGGTGAAGAACAGAAAGAATGTGGGAAGTGAAGGACCAGAAAGAAGAAAAGGATGAAACACACACGAATGAAACAGGCTGTAAGTAATAAAGGGAGCCATTGAATCCCTGACTGGACCGTGTTGCAGGTGGTAAGCCCATTACTCTCCTCAAAGAGTATCACAAACATGGTGTAACCTCCTGTCCAAAGGGAAAATTTTTTAATTGTCCTCAGGACATGCAACAAATGAAGAAACATTTATGTAAGAAAATCTAATAAATCTCAGTAAGAGCAGTGATAGTGTTTGGACTTAAGCTGCAACCTTCTCATCCCTTCCGCCCAGTTCAACATGCGAAAAGCGCCCCACTCTCCCAGAGCAGGCGCCGCAGACACACTGGTTGCAGTGCCCCCAGCTCTCAGCCAGGGCTATGGCATCTCCCTGGGAGGGGCAGGCTGCTGCCATTCCTCACATCCCTACTTCTGTGTTGCAAAGGCTGAATTCCAGGCAAGGGCAGCCGAGAGGTCCGGGCCTTCCTTTTTCCACCCAAACAGAAGGCAAGGGCTCTCTCCCAGAGTTATCAGGCCAAGAAAACTGGAGCCCTGGTCACCTTGGCCCCAGCTTGTTCACAGAGGGGAGGTACCATGCAGGAAGAGGCTAACTGAAAAGACCAGAAGCTACTGTCCCACGGAGCATCATGCTCCAAAAACAGAGGTGCCACTCCAGCAGAAGCAGGCCGTGGTCTGCGCCCTCACCTCCATAGCAGTGTCTCAAATATTTTTCCCCAGGAGGAGTGAAAGCCCTAAGAACAGAGAGTTCTGAAGTTCTCCCCTAGTAAACTGATTTGTTTGGAACAGAGTGTGGAGAAACTCCCACCTAAGGGTTCTGTCAAAAACAATGGAGATGGAGATTTGGGCGGTAAGCAATTAAGAGAAGGTACTAGCTTGATAAGAGCAACAAGCTCACCCAGAGGCCAGCTGTGTGAAACTGGACACACATTTAATTTTACTCCTCAAAAACCCACTAAAATAACAGTTATTTTTATTTTTTAAGACAAAGCCACAAGGAAGAGAATAGAAAAGGAGGCCATTTTGGAAGCTATAAAGCAGAATAGCTCTAAATTCCTCAATAATAACATGAAAGCAGATAGAATGGAACAAGGCTTTCAAAATTATAAAGGCAAATTATTTTTAACCTGAAATTCCACACCCAGTCTAACTTTGATCAAGTTTAAGGGTAGAATAAAGACTAAATCAAGAAAAGCCTTTGATGAAGTAAATAGAATATCCAGCATAGAATAGAGGCAAAGGGAATCCCCAGGGTGGCAGTGAAGTGAGATTCCAGGCTGACATCAGGTGTCAAGGCCCTCAGCCCAGACGGGAGCAGGTCGCGAGTCACTGGGGAACTTTTCTCAGGAAGAGGTCAAGTGTCACATATGCAAATTTGAAAAAGACCTGAAAATTTGAAGGTGAAATTAGTGTTAAGTTCATAGAAAACCAGCAAAGAAACAAAATTTAAGGCAATTATTATCTCCAGGGAAGACAAAAATTTGTTCGGGGAAGGAAAAGAAATCACAATTTTCTACACAGCTCAGCTGCTATACATGGTATTTAGTTAGGATACTGTAGATATTGAACGCTGATTTAAATAAAATTATAACCAGTGTGGAAGGAGGAGAGAGGACTCATACCTGTGGAACGTGGAGTTGGGAAGCAGCAGCTAAATCTCCGTTTACAGATGAGTGTCAATAGATTATGCCTGAAACTGAAAAATAAGGAAGCACCAGTGTAAGCATGTTAGAGAAGTAAGGTGAACACCTGAAGAACTGGGTGAAATAGCGTGCGGGTGCTTGCCTCTGGAGAAGCTGGGGAGAGTGAGGTGCTGTTTTTAATAACAAACTTGGAAGCACTGACTTTTTAAAGCCATGTGCATTGTAAGTTCACACAAACTTTTAAATGTATATTTCCGTCTCTTCTGTACTGTATGATTTCACTCACCAGTGTTCGGTTTTCAGAGTAATTAGTTTATATTAGCACCAAAAAGTTAATTTTGTCTGTGCCTTGAAGGTATCATCAGGAAGGCTAGATGCTTAGAAATCCTACTTTTAATAGTAACAGCTGCCATTAACGTGTGCCCCGTACCGGACTAAGCACTTCTCTATTCCAGTTTGCACCACAGCCGTGCACAGAGGGTGTTGTTTTCCTCTTACAGATGAGAAACTGCTGTTCAGAGAGGTTAACTAATTTACAAATGCAGCAGAGCTCCCTGATCCCAAAGCCTCTGTTTTTCCTTTCTATAGATGTCCTAAACCTCTTTCTAGTGCTTGGATTTAAAAGAACTATGGAGAGGGGAAAATGTAGCAACTCAAGGAACTCCTTTGGGGGAATGTCAGGGTGAAGGGAAGAGAAACCCTGAAGGATTCAGCAATGTAACTAGGTAACTGTCTCTGACTTAACCAAGCATAACCCCAAATCAGAATTTCCAGCTGGTTATGTGAGTAAGGGAAGCAATTTCTAAACTCTGGCTAGGAGCTCCTATGATTACAAAAATAAAAGCTTCCTGCTGCTCTTATTTTGAAGTAAAAGAGAAGTTGCAGCCGCTCCAGCGTGGGTCTAAACACCCCGGTGAGAATGCTAGGACGATACGGTTTTGTGTTCCGGAAGCCCAGTTGTCCCACAAAGCTGGTCTCTGAAAAGGAGGGGACAGATGGCAAAACTGCTTCCCAGGGGGTGACCTGGGTCCAGGATCTTGAAGTCCCTTCTGAATAAAATTTTAGGTTTACCAGTGTTTAAATCACTGAGAGCTTTGAGAGTGTCTTGGCCAGTTTCATGTCTGGAATTGTGTGATAATAATCCAGACACTCACCTGGCTCTTCAAGTCGATTGGTTGGTTGGCTCCAGTGTGGTCAAAGTATGTGGTCTGGTGAACCACAACGCTGTTTACATTCTTTCTTTTTGAAAAGTCACGAGCCACCACTACCGGCAAGTTAAGAAATGAAACTGAAATCAGCTGATAGTGACATCACTCAGTATAAATGTACCAAAGTTCAGAACTGTTTACTTGAGTACAGCGTCGAATGTGAGCAGGTCATAAGCTCAGCACTGCATCTAAGTGCCCTTCACCGCTCCCCGTCTCCTCCAGAGCCTGACACCAGGAAGCCTCCAGAAGGAAGGATCAGCTGAACCTGACTTCCTGTGCCTCTTGTTTATGAGTGTTTCTGTGGGTCCTGCATCTTCTCTTTGTAAGTACCCCCACCCCACTGCATGCACTGCAGCTTGCCCCTCTGTAGGGAGTTGGCTTTCTCCTCAGACCTTCCACGTTCCAGCACCGGGCAGTTGCTGGTAGTGTCAGTGACCCCTCCCCCATGTACGACCTCCCCTGCACTCCCTCAGCTTCACCCTGCAGTCTCTGGCCTCACCAGTGGGAAGGGTAACGCTGGCACCCTGGTTAGAAGCACACGGGAGAAGTGGGTGGCAGGGCTTACACAAAGTCTGTACAAATAAATGCATGTGGCCTGCAAGGTCGACTGTCCGAAATGGGCAGCCAAACAAAAGCAGGCCCTGCCTCACAGTGGCAGAACTTCCCCAAAGGTGGTTATAGGAACTCTACGAATCCCTACCATACACGCTGGGTGAAGATGATCAGAAAACCTGGGTTCTTGGCTCGGGAAGACTCTTATGGGGCCTAAGAGATGTTTAGACCCTCTGTTACTAGACTACATTGCCTCTCATGCCTTGATGGAAATTCCTGGTGGGATATTAGTTCCATAGGTGTATATCTTAAGTTTTTTTTTTAATGTGAGCTGTTTCTCTAACAACTTCCATTATGCTTCTTTACCTGTAAAATCAAAGGCTTCTTTGGGATAGGAAAAAAGAAATACAGGCATATATGGGACTCCTTTCCTCCTCCCCTCATGAGAACTTGTGCGTTTTCCAGTATATTCTTCCTATACCCCATCCCTCCCAAAGTCCTGAATCTGAGAATCAGTTCTTACAATGGTCTCCTTCTGACTTTGCACACATTCCCCTTTCTCACCATTCTTTCCAGCTAATGTTGCTTTTGTTTGTTTTCTACATTTCACTTTTACATAAATATAACATGTAATTTTGGAAACATTTTTAGTGCAAAAAGAAAAACAATTGCCCAGAACACCACCACCCAGAGATACCACAGCTAATGTTAGTATTTTGGAATGATTCCTTAGTCTCTTTCTTGCAGTCAGACTACATACTATGGTTTTAGACCTGGTTTTGCAAAGGCTGCATAGGATTTCATCATCTTGATAATTTAATTTTGATGTTGGGCCCTCAAGATACTTCTCATTTTTTACCAAAGTAATATTGTGATGAAAATTCCTGTATTGAAGTCATTAATTGCATTAGATTGCTGCCTTAGGATAGACTCATAAGTGAATTACTAGGCCAAAAGGACTACTTTTAGGATTTTTAGTGCATATTACCAAATCTCGTGTATATTGCCTACCAGAAAGTTTGTATGATAGTCACTTCCATGCATCACTGTGTGAGAATATCCATTTTATCTCACTTTTTTTATCAAGTGTTTTTATCCACAGTTTTGACCAGGAAACTCACAGGTTATTTTGCTTGATGTTTTTTATTACATTACAAAAGGTACTGAATTTTTTTTTCATGCCATGTGATATAGTAATTTATATAATAAGAACTACATATTTGGTCTTTGTTCCCATTTCTGGCACAGAGCTCCTAATGCCCTTGGAAATTTCTAAGTGTGACTAGAGATACAGGGGTGTCTTCTTTATTCATGATAAGTTCCTTTGAACCACATCTGAGTTTATGTTAATGAGCTGACTTTCAGAAAATCCCTAAGGATGAGGGCTGGTCGCAGGGGAACCAAGCACCTGATTAGAGGGTGGGAACTTTTAGCCCCACCCCAGCCTTCAGGGAGGTTAGCGTGTCTGGAGATCAAATTTGTCACCAATGCCCAGTGAGGTAATTAGTCATAATATGATTGCCAGTCACATAATACGGAAGCCTCCATCCGAGGCAGGGGGAGTGTTCTGTGGGATTGAGCCTAAACCTGTGGGATCTGACACTATAGAATTGATTTAGATTACAGGACACCCAGCTGGTGTCACAGTATTGTTTGGTGGAGGACAACTCCCACACATGTGGTAGAAAGTACAATAGTCGCAGTTCGGTATTTTGCAGACCTTCTTTTTGAAATATCTCTTCATATTCCTTGTCCATTTTTATGTGGGCTAATATTTTTATCTGCTTGCATGAACATTTCATATGTTAGGTACATTAGTCATTTCGTATTTGTTGCAGATATTTTCCATGCTCATTGACTTTTAATTTTATTAATGTTGTTTTTGTGGTAGAGAAATGTGTATTTTAAAAGTTAAATCTACAATTTTTTCTTTGTAATTTCAATTGCTTTTAAGTGCAGTATGTTCATTTATAAATCAAATACTACTTTCTGCTGTTTTCCTTTTTTTGTTTTTGTCCATGATGTTTCTCATTCCTGGGTCCATGGGAATTTTATTTCACTATGTAGAGTGAGATGACGACCTTAGATAGTTTTATCTTGAGTTAGCTAATCAACTGCTTCAGCATTAGTTAATGAAAACTCTTTCTTCCACTGAGTTATAATGCCACTTTATTGTGTGTTAACTTCATATATGTGACTTTCCTGGGATATTCTGCTTTCTTGAACTGTCCAGCCTAGTGGCCCTGCCATTCTGTTTCATTTGACCCAATCCCCCACCCACCACCACCACCAAGTTATTTTCGGAACCTAGGCTGCCCTCAGCCTCAAAATGATACATCTTAAAGCAAACGAATAAATGTAAAGCTCTTTGCAAATTTAATCTTCAAATACACAGACAATATGTTCTCATTACCACTGAGATTTTTCAGAGCTTTATTTTATTCCCCTGGGCTCTCCCTGCCTCAGCTTCTTCAGTTGTCAGACAACAAAACTAAAAGTTTTTTAATGAGTTAACTTGTTTCTTTATTCAAAGAAAAACAATCCATGGATTGGGGGAGCACAGCACCTCACAGTCATGGAGCACTCTTCCTGAGGGATCTGGGGCAAGAGCGGTTTTACAGAGCTTTAGCAGAGGCAACGTGGAAGTGGCGTGACTGGCCAGGAGGCCAGGATTTCCTTCCGGGGCAGGCAGGTCTCGCTCTCTAAGGGAAGGTAAAGCTCGGTTGGAGGCCTGTGACTGGTGTGTGTTAGGCTTCCTTGGCCATGTTTCCCATGCAGGCTGACTTAGGTTTTGAATTGTGATGTGAGCCAGGCCACTGTGGTGACCTCCATTCTGTGGGTCCCCATATAGGAATTAAGGTAATCAGCCCAAACCTAGGCTTTAGGCATGACCCCACGTCCCCAGCACTTTTGTGAGGAGAGATCCCTTTTGTCGCCTTGGCAGCAGTAGGGAAGTGGGGTACTAACAGCGAAGTCCCCGGGTGGAGCAGAGAACACTTCTGCCCCCCCTCCACACCCAGCCCACCAGGAAGCACAGGGCCGCAGGTGATGCAGTCCCAAGACCAGGATCAAGTGACAAGACTCACTTTCAAATACTGGCTTGTATTTGAAGCCCCATAGCACCTGCTACTCAGTTTGTCTGTGATTTGCTCCCTTTGAGTTACTTTTCCATGTGTTCTGAAGTCATTTCAAATGCATTACGAAGTTGTCCGGTGAGAGTCATATCCTCTTGTGTAGGGACGGAGGTGATGTTCCTAAAACACTTAACCTCCCTTCCAGCCAACTCTCAAAATAAAATACCTTTAGCAAAATTTCAGGTCTAGTTCTTAGTGACTGTCAATTATTCTTTACCTCCTCCTCTTCGTTCCTTCTGACTGTTGGGTGCAGCCCACATTCAATAGGTCTGTGTCTTTGTAGCAGGGCTGGTGGGCAACCCTTCAGGAGGTAATGCCTGGCATCGCTCCACTCCTCCCCAACTCAGCAACTATCTGCACCTTCAGCCACACCATCTGGGGCCCCCGTCCTCATGCCTGGGAGACTGGGCCATGAGTCAACAGAGCAGCTGGTTAGAAGGATGTAATGCAGACCCCTCTCACCCTGGCCTACAAGGGCCCTGGGTCTGCTCACTGCCCAGCCTCTGTCCTTGGGCTGCAGCCACCCAGCCCCAAGTCTGCTCCTCTCCTAACCAGCCGCTTATAACCACTGCACTCTTTCTGGACGGCTCTTCCACATGCCTCAGGCCTCCAACCGAATGTCGCCTTTGCAGACAGGCCTTCCCTGGCCCTCCTGTGTAGATTCACCAATTACTCCTGCCAGTTCTCTACTTTACTTCATTCTGTTTGTTTCCTTCCCAAATCTTTTCAAAAATTATATTTTTTAAATATATGCTTTGTGTTTGTCCCCCCGAGAGTGCAAGCTCGGTGAAAGCAGGTACCTGGTCTGCCCTGTGCGTTGCTGATTCCCCAGAGTCACTCTCGGTGTGTATTTAATGGAGTCATAAGATGATATCCTGGCCTCAGTCGATGGGGGCTGGCGACTCCATTGTGACTGCAGGAGAGTGGGCAGGAGCCAGAGGACGGAGAGGGACAGCCAGAGGCAGTCACAAGTGTCCAGTACTGCCTGTCCTCCAACTCTGGGAACCTTAGCCTCCCATAAACTGGACTGCAGAGTCTCACCCATAAAAACCAGAATTACAAGGTGCAGACATTTTCTCCTTCTTAAGGGATTTTTTTCTCTCTTAGTTCTTGGTTCCCAGCTTGGTCATCTGCTAGCAAGGGCTAATAAGCAACAGAACACTGGACAAGTAGGACGGTGACATCAGTGGGACCACTGAAGCAGCCTGAGCCCATAGTGTATTGTCACGGGGGCGGGGGGTACAGAGACCTGTGCACAGACCCTCTGTTGCAGCCCCATGGTGCAGTCCAGTTTCTGCTGGTAATGAGGTTTTTATCTACTTGGAAGAATTAAGTAAGTTAAAATATGGCAGCCCTCCATAAAAAGCTGGTCGTAGGCCCAGCTGC